GACAATTTTGAAATATCTCCTTTTTGTGAGGCTGGCCAGCCCAAGAAACACTATTCTGGGGGTGAGGGGCCTCCAGTGTTGGGTGATGGTAGCTCATGTGCTCAGGTCACTCAAACCAGCTTCTGTGCCCATGGCAATGAGGTGGGAGCCCTGCACTGAACTAAGTTCTAAAGGCTGCAGGATGGGAGAAGTCTGACATGGATAAATGTGGACACTGCTTAATCTGTCCTTGCTGAATCTACACAACAGACATTCCCACGGTCTCCAGTCAGTAAGGGACACCCAGAGGGCTAAATCATCATCAACGCCTCTACTTGTCTAGCACTTCCCGGTTTACAAAGCACTTCCACCTGTGAGAGACAAGTATCATTAGGATTACCTTCCTATTTTACAGACAAGGAAACTGAGGATCCAAAGATGTTCATCAATAAACCCAAGGTCAGGAAGCCCGTAGGCGGCAGAGCCAGGCCTAGAACCAGGTCTCTGGACTTTCAGACCAGTAGTCTTTCCAGATCCAAGTCCCTCTCAGGGAAGTGAATCTGCCACACTAAGATCTCTTCAGACCTTGAGAAGCAACACTGAGGGGGAGGGAGGCCAGGCCTGTCCCCCAGCGGCATCTCACCTCCCTCACATCACCCCCAGGCAGGGGAACCAAGGCCTGCGTCTGCATCTCACAGCCTCTGAGAACCAAGGCGGCCCCTGGCCAACCACACCGCCTCCCCCTGCACTCAGTGCTTCAGAAATGGGCCTGCGCCTCCAGCCCAGCCCACGCTTGCAAAGGCTGCTGGCCTGAAGCCTCAACTGGTCTCCCAGCAAGGCCTGGGACCCTCATATCCATGAGCTGAAGACTGGTGAACCCTCATCCCTCCCTGGGGCAGTAGACACTGTCCTCCTAGGGAGTGTCTCAGTCCGGCTTTCACAAGGTCTTTTCATTTTAGTCTTAACCATCCCAACAGTCACACCAACTACATTACCTTTTAAACCTGGAGAAGCCCCACTGGTGGAGACTGCTCCCATTCCCACCTGGGCCCTGCTCCCTTGCAGGGCTCCCGACTAACCTCAGTTTGTCGGTGACATTCACCCCAACCACATCAATCGGCCCCTTTCTGCTGGACTTCCTTTATCACAAAGTTTCCCTCATGGGTCTTGGCTGAACAGGTTCCCAGCATCTCTCTTCTGTCCATCCGGGGAGGACAGATCACGACACCCAGTACAACCTTCCACACACCCCAGGGGCTCAGGCCACACCACTCCACCCCACAGGGCAGAGGGTGGGCTTTCCGGATCCAACATACAGACCCTGAGAATGTGCCCTCAGACCTTTGAGACCCCCTCCCAATGGGGACACAGACGGGAGGGAGAGCCCCAGCAGGAGCAGTTAACTGGAAAACACCTCCCCATTTATAGGAGTCAATCTTCTGCCCCTGTGGAGCTAAGAAAGAACACCCCATCAGCCTCCAGTCTGTGAGCCTGCTCCTGCTCCCTGGAGTAAGACCCTCCCTCCTGTCCCCTGTCACATGTTTGCTGACCCTTCCAGAAGCAGCTCAAAAGGCGACCACTGGGAGCCTGCCCTGTCCTGTCTCAGATGGAATTAGGTGCTCTCTGTGCTGGGTTCTCACAGCACTTTACCAAGTTGTCAGCCATTTGTCACATCAACAGACATCACAGGCTCTTGCCCTCCCCCTTCTGATGCAGGACCCAGGTCGTGTGAACAGCTGAGGCAAGGAGGTCCCTCAGGCTGGTGCAAGTGCAGGTCGGCACCTGAGAGTGGGTGTCTCATTGTCTCAACCCTCCCTGTGAGGACCCTGGGGTGTCACATATGCTCTCGAACAAGACAAGCAGCTCTCAGCTAAACTACCCATGGCAGCCATCACTGGTTTCCATTCAGCAAATATTTACTGAGCACACCTGTGCCTTGGCACTGCCAGGGCCTTCCCTTCCCGTCCCGGTCACCATCTGCTTCACTGAACCCCGAGGTGGCTTCACAGGAACAGGAGGTCACCCAGCACCTCCTCTTCTGACAGACACTCGGCCCCTGAGGACCCACAACACAGCATTCTGTGGAAAAATAAAGCTGATTTTCCCTCTGCTAGCTGTCCCAACGGACCCTGAGCAGTGACGTGTGTGCTGTCCTTCCCTAGCTAACACCACAGCCCACCCTGTCCTGGGTGGGTGCCCCACCTCCCTAGGATCCAGGCAGGACTCCATCATGGGTTGGGCCCAAAGACAACTCCCAGTGTCCGCCATCTTGCTTTCCAGGGAGGACGGTGTATGCATCTTTTACTACTCAAATTCAGTTATTTGCCCTCAATAACAAAATAGAAGAAGGGGGAAAAAATAGAAACTTAAATTGTGCAGCAATTCTACTCTAGTAGTATTCACTCTATTCAAAAGCTGAAGGACTTGGAGTGACATTGAGATGGAAGCTGTAAATACATGGGTTCCCTTGGTGTCCCTTGGTCCGTTTCTCTGCTCACACCAGCCTTTCCTGGTGGGCAGTGCTGTGCTGGTAACTGCCTATCAGCTGCCTCCTCAGGAGGAAGAAGCCTTGGTCTCTCGCATTTGACAATTTCTGTGGTGTAAATACTCCCACTAGGGCTCATTTCAAACCACCAACATGATCACACTGAACACAGAGTTGGGAAAAGATGCATGAAACCAGCTCTCACAAGCCAGTTCTTCCTAGCTCCAGCACACCACTGTCTGTGGGAAAATCTGGTGTTTCAATATGAAGGACTCGTGTTTCCTACAGCATGGCCCCTAATATCAGCCAACTGTTCCATCGGAAAGAAAAGGCATCTCTTCCAGACCAGGAGGAAACACCTGCTGAGGGTGGTAGGTCAGCCTCCAATACAGCAGCATCCTAAGGGATTCACAGGAGTAGTGTTAACTGTATTTGATTTCCACCTTAAAATCTAATTTTCCCCTTCAACAACCAAAGCTAAGGCTTGGCTACTCCTCAGCGACCCTCCTCCTTCACTAGACAGTCCTGGCCCAAACTCAGGTGGGGACCCTACATCCTGTCTACCTCCCCATGAGATGGTATCCTGAGGGCAAAGAATGACTTTTTCCGTGGGAGCCCAGCATGCTTGGAAACAAGACTCTGGAGACAAACTGAAGTTGATTTCATTCCTGCTTCTACCACTAAGCTGTGTAATCATGGGCAGATCCTCAATGGCCTCATCTGTAAAATGGGACATTACCTATTTCACAGGGTTGTTGGGAGGACTAAATAAATATAGTACAAGAAGCAGCCAGCACAGAGCACCACCAACAGTCACAACACCACTACCTCCCTACTTCATCTCCCCAGGGGAGTGGGACCTGAGCCATAGTCAGACAATGTCGCCACCTAGTGGCTGTGCTCAGAATCGCCCAAGGCCTGCAGGTGTTCCTGGATTTGAGGAAAACTGCATAGAGAAGAGAAGAGAGTTTTCACAGATTATCTTGAACAGACATTTCTTTTGCTGTTTGTCCTAAGGACCATTTTCACAGGCTTTAATTTTTTTAAATAATTTTCCCACTTTCACTGGGGGGTAGGTCAACTGGTATCATGCCAGAAGTCAATCAATCCTTCCAACACAATTTTGATTTCTTTTATCAATAGGCCTTTATACTACCATCTGTGCTATAGTTATTACTTAGCTAGTCCCGCATAAGCCATAGACTCTCACTCTTTTTTCCTTGACTAATAATTAACTGTTTCATATTTTGGAAGCCAAATGACATTTCCTTTGGTGGCTTTTATTTCAACTACTCTTACTTCTAAAGATGCTTGTGATAATTTCCTGACCCCTTTGTGCCATTAAAGACTACTCATTTCCAAAGAAGCAGGACTATAATGAGGCCTGTGGATTTGGGTGGAATCTGTGTCTATGGATGAGAAATCTCACTCTCAATTCCCAGCACTTGAAAAAGTGCTACCACCTCAAGTAGCACCAAGCAGAACTAGTGCCCAGATCTTAGTTTCTAATACTGTTCCCCATAAGAAGAACTAGAGCTCTTTGGAGAAATGGCTGAACCTACAAATCCAGCAGTTCCACTTCTGGGTGTATAACTGAAGGAAATGAAATCAGGATCTTGAAGAGAATCTGTCTGCCACTCCCATGGTCATTGCAGCATTATTTACAGTAGCCAAGACATGGAAACACCCAAGTGTCCACTGAAAATGAGTAGATAAAGAAAATGTGCTGTGTGCATATACAGTGGAATATTACTCATCCATAAAAAGAAAAAAATTTGCCTTCTGTGACAACACGTATGGGCCTTGAAGGCCGTATGCTAGGTGAAATAAGTCAGACAGAGAAAGGCAAATACTCTGTGTTCTCACTTATACGTGGAATCTAAAAAAGCTGAACTCATAGCAATAGAGAGTAGACCGGTGGTTGCCAGGACTGGGGACTGGGGGAGACGGGGAGATGTTGGTCAAAGACTACAAACTTCCAGTTATAAAATGAAAATGTTCTGGGGATCTAGTGTACAGCATGGTGACTATAATTAACAACACTGTATTATAGACTTGAAAGTTAAGAGAGTAGATCCTAAATGTTATCAACACCAGTGCAAAAAAATGGTAATTATGTGAGGGGATAGAGCTGTTAACTATCCTCATTGTGGTAATTATTGTGCAATATACACCTGGGTCAAATCATCATGTTGTACATCTTAAGCTTCCATATGTTATATGTCAGTAATATCTCAGTAAAGCTGGGGGAGAAGAATGTTTATGGTGGTTAGCTTTGTGAGGTGAGATAACAAGTGATTTTTGTTCTTCTGTGCAATTTTCTATGTTTTCCAAATTTTGTGAAATCAACATGGATTATTATCAGAAACAAAAAAAAAACCCTTATTATTAAAAATTTCTATGCCCATTGGCCAATCAGGCAAGGAGAATGTGTGCTGAGATTCAAGTAGAGAGTGGGGATGGGAGGGAGCAGGGGGCAGGGAGAGAGAGGGACTAAAGTCTCTCACCCAGCAGTCATGGACTCCTTATGCACCAGTGGTTCCCCTGCCAGACCCTGATGCTCCAAATCAGCCTCATCCTAGGTGAGTAGCAGAACAGGCTGGGCCGCTCCAGGGAGGGTGTGGTGGGATGCTGAGGAGTCAGGTGTGAGGGGGACGGGTGGGCAGCTGGAGCTTGCATGGTGTTAACGTCCTGATTCCTCAAGTTTCTTTGAGGTTGATTGGGAGGGAAAGGGGTCTAGGGCTTTTCTGGGACGCCCTCAGGAAATTCCTCAGAACATGAAAACATCATCAAACCTCTACTTCAAAAGGCAATTATTTGCCCTGCCGTGTTGGGCTGCTGCCGCGGAGATGTCAGAACAGTGACTCATTGTCCACCTTCCTGTTTGGCGGGAACCATCTCCACAATCTCAGGTCCTTGTCTCCATTCCCCAGTCTCCTTCCTTCTTCTCCTCCCTGGCAGAGGAGGGCATGTGTGGTGAGTGAGGGGCCAGGACAGCTTCCTACTGCCCCATCATTAGGGACAGCTGAGCTGTGGCACCATCTGCAGAGGCAGGGGAGGCGGAGGCAGCCAGGGGGAGTGGGACCTTCCCCTCTCACTCTGCTGGTGACCGATGTGTGTGGTTACAAGTTGTTTCCAAGCTCTCCATGGGGGCGGGGGTTATGCTGCAGGTGCTGCCTCATGGGAACCAGGCTCTGACTTGGTGGCCTGGTGCCCCGCCCTTGTCCCCAAAACATCCTTGTGGTGGAAAGAGGGGCTGAATTCTGCAGTCAGACCCAAGGTTCACAAATTCTGGGCCTACCACATATTGGCCATAAAATTTTGAACAAATTGTGTATATCCTGGAAAAGTCGCTTTATCTTCCTGAACTTCAATTTCCTCACCTGTAAAATGGATAGAATAATACCTAAGTGGAGGTGTTATTTGGGAGATTAAACGAATTAGTGCACTTTCCAGCTAGTGTCTGACACAGGGACACAGATTACTCATGTATTTAGCATACATTTCTTACTTGATGAAAAACTTGTAAATAGACACTGTAAAAGAAACAAAAATGATGTTGTTTCCTTTTTCATAATTGACAGTTTTATTGTGACCCAAACGTTTAATAACAGGAAAGCTTTTTCTCTGGGAAGTGAGGTACTTGTGGTGACACAGAGATTGCACACTGTCCTATGCTCCCCACTCCCCTTCCGCCTCCTACACAATGGGGAACATTGTGAGAATCTTTAAAAAAAAAGTCCATTCCCCCTTAATAATCAACGAGAGAAATACTACCACAATTGTTGATAAATGAGCAGAGGATATTAACAGATGAAGCATAAAGAAAAAATAGATAAGATGAAAGGTAGTCATCCTCACAGGTAATCCAAGAAATGCAAATTAAGAAAACTGGATATCATATTTTGCCTATCAAATTAGCACAGGTGTTTTTGTTAAAGTCAATATTCTGTTGGGCAATGGGACAGTGCAACAGGCACTCTTACCTATTATAGGCAGCTTTTTAAATGAGTAAAAAGCTTCTTAGAGTTCATTTGATGTCTCACAAACATTTAAACATTTAAAATATTTGTACCTTTTCCTCGGTAATTCCACTTCTGGGATTCACCCCAAGGAAAACCTCCATGCAGAAGAAGCTTATGCACAAAGACATTCATTTTGGTCTATTTATAGCAATGAAAGAATTGGAACCCAATGAGAGGGTAAATGACATAGGGGCAAGTTACAGCATTAAGGAGGTGACGATAACTGCTCTAGGTAGGCAGTATTGGCTGGCTGACTGAGAAGATGAAGAGGACCTAGCCAGAAGGAAGACAGGAATGAACACGTGTTGAGCGTCTACCATATGCAAGATCTGTACTGGGAGCATCACATACGTTCTCTCATTTCAGCCTCGCATCACCGCCTGTTTTCTGAGGGGCTGAGAAGGATAAGGAGGCAGGGAGGCCAAGACAGTGGAAGACCCCTTGCTAATCACCAGGCACTGCGACGTATGACAGGAATCTGGCTTTCTATGTAGCCCCATTAAGTAGATGACACTACCCTAGTTTTACATTTGAGGAAACCAAGGCTCAGAGAGGCCAATTAATTCGCCTGAGATCTCAGAACTACTAAGTCTCACACTAGGATCACCCAGACCTCTGAATTCTTAACTAAGGGGATAGGGGAGCCTCTGCTATTTGAAGGAAATTCCTCTCACCACTTCTCTCCCTCCCTATCCCGGCCTCTAGGAAAATTATTCTGTTTATATTTCTCAATAGGCAAACAGGGGCTCCCTCAGTGCCTTCCCCCATCTGAATTCTCTTTCCTTTTTCTACTCAACAAAGACTATCATTTCCTGGTTAGGGTCACAGAATCTGGGGGTCAGTGAGCAGTTTAAGGAGTCCCACTGTTTTTTTTTTCTCTTGAGATGTAGTTACACCTAGGCTGGCTCCTCTGTGCTCCCAGACCACTTCCACTGCTCTGCCATTATAGCATTTGTCGACATTCTCAGCGAGCTGTGTACATGACAGGGTGAGGGGTGCACAGGAAGCCACCTCTGCCCCCAGCGGCCCTCTCTTTGTGTGCTGTTGGTTGCCAGACAACCACTGAGGGTGGTAAGTCCCTCACAGAAGGAAATGCAGTTGTTTGTGCCTCAATCAAGCTGGCATCAGTCTTACCTGAATTCTGAGCTGATTTAGAGCAGCCATTACCAGGCTGCCTGGAGTCTCATGACAGGGGAGGACAGGGAGGTGGGAGGGTCCCAGTGGCTCTAGCCACAATGTCCGTTCCATCCCTTGAACACTGACAAAACAAAAACTCTTTGCTGTAAACACATCTTGGATTAAAGCAGATTCAGGCAGCTCTGAGTTCATGATTAACTCAATTTTATGAAGAATCAACGTGGACTGAGCTAGTGAAGTCTTGTCCTTTTGCTAAAAGAATAATTTTTAAAATGTTCAAAGGATATGGCACAATATCATCATATTTAATTTGAGTTCCTTACAAATTCATGAGGGAAAAATTTTATGGAAGTATATTTGCGTGTGTCCTCAAGGAGGGCACAGGATGTGTTGGTATATGAGAGATGGAAACGGCTGTAACTGCACTGCCCTTACCTAGTCTTTCAGTCATTATTGGATTTTGTCCTTTTCCTGTATGTTTTATGTGTTCCAGAAGTGCACTAGGAAGAGAACTGGAAGTCAGGAAACTGGATCTTGTAAAGACAGTGGCGCCAACTTCCCTGTAGTGATTTTTCTCAGTTTTCTTGTAAATTGGAACTGCGTCTCCCTGTTCATAGTGAAGAAACTTTTCTGTAGCCTGTGAGACATAGCTTAATAAATTTCTTTAAATATAAAAAGGAAAGAGAGAGAGACAGAGAGAAAACAGGAATCAGGCAGCTCGAGACCACACAGATATGCAGATCTAGCTTCACTGTTTTGTGAGGCCCAGTCATCTCTCTGCATTAAATTGTTGGTCTTTGGAAATTCCCTCATTCCTATCTTTTCCTGAACATTGGCCACTTGTCATCTCTTTAATGATTTAGGTCTGTCGATGTAAATAATCCATGATCAATCTATAAATCAAAATTGGGGTGAGTTTATTGTGAGTCAGGTTTGAGCACTAGAGCCCGGGGCCTTCCTTCTGCTAGAAGGAAGGGCACCAAAGAAGTGGGATCTACAGAGTGGTTATACACCATCTTGGAACAAGGAGCATACATCACATATGACAGGAATATCTCTTTTACCACTGTCATGAGAGCTTAGCTGGCACAGCAGGTCAGTGGTCAGCTGGTCAGTGGTCACAAGGTGAGTACAGCAGGTCAGTACTTAATCTTTACTTCCCAAGAAGAGATGCTTATCTTTAAAGAAATGCTGAGGTGGGGAGAAGCTACATCCCTATCTTTAAGGGCATCATTCCTGTCTTTGGGACATAGTAAATGTTTAAAGCAGGCATACAATGCATGCTCAATAGGCCATGTCAGGCCCTTTTGGAAAAACAAGGCCAGGCAGAATTAGTTTTAAACCACATGGCTTCCTCATACGCTCCAATATATTCTATTTCTTTTCATTTATTCATCAGGTCCCTGTTCAAAAAACCAACATTGCTTTGGGGGAATAAACTGTCCCCTACTTTAAATTGTTTTGTCTGATACAGATAACCTTTACCCCCTATTTACTGCCACAAGCACACAAGCATGATTGAGTGGTTCCAATCTTTCAAAAACCCTCCCTTGAAAGCCTAAATGTCCAAAAGAAGAAATGAAAAAGCAGGAAATAACCACCTATACAAAGGAAGTTAAACGAAAACTATTTTTCTCAACTTTATACAAATATATGGAAAACTGAGGTGAAATGGGTCATTTTCTAGGAGAATATAATTTACCAATACTGACCCCAGAAGAGAAAGAAAGTCTAAACAGATAAATTACCTGCTATGGAAAAACACACTCCTGTGTCTCTCCTTTACTCTCACATAACTGCCACACTACTTCTGACACTACATGTGTGTGTACTTCTCCCCACGTGGAGCAATCTTGTGATTTCTCAGACGCCAGCTGGGTGTCCTACAATTTAACTCAGTTCTAATACTATCTAACTGCAGTTTGTGTCAGATCCCACAGGTTTAGGGTTCAGTCCCACAAGACTATCATCCCCCCACTTCAGACACCACTCACGAGTCCAGGTTGTTACCAGCTGGCTTCAGATTGACTGGCTAAAATTCAGAGTTTCCCATGACCTTCTGTCAGGTTTAATTAATTTCCTAGAGCAGCTACGGAACAGTGGGAAAACAGTTTACTTACTAGATTATTGGTTTATTATGAAAAGATATAACTCATGAAGAGCCAGATGGAAGAGACGCGCAGGACAAGGCATGTGAGAAGGTGTGTAGAGCTTCCATGCCCTCTCCAGGTGGGCCACCCTCCCAGCACCTCCTTGTGTTCACCAACCCAGAAGCTCTCCTAACACCACCCTTTTGGGTTTTTATGGAGACTTCATTACATAGGCGTGATTGATTGGGGTTACCAGAGGATAGGGGAGGAGGAAGAGACAGTAATTATTTAGTGGGTACAGAGTGTTTTTCTGGGAAGATGAAAAATGTTTTGAAAGGAGAGAGAGGTGGCAGTTGCACAACATTGTGAATACACCAAATGCCACTCAAAAATATACACTTTATACTGTTAATTGTATGTATGAGAATTTCACATCAATGACCAAAAAAAACACATGCACCTAAGAGTAGCTGGTATAATTCTTGAAATACCACAAAGAAGAACAAAAACTTAAAAAGCCGCCAAAGGTATAATACAATGAAAGGAAAAACAATGACACTTCTTGTCTGCAATACTGGAATCTTGATGACAGTGAAAGGACACTATGTGCTACTTAAAGGAAAGGACAGCAATTGACAAATCCTCACAAATCAGCTAGATGGCACTTACTGTCAGGGTAAGAGAAAATAGTAGCTCTGGAGTAAGCATGCAGAGACTATATCACCCACAGAGTCCATTTGAGGAAAATCCTCAAAAAAAATTCTCCATCAAATAACAAATTCATCGTAACAGAGATCTCCAGAGTACGGAGAGAAAGAGTCCACAGTGGTCACCAGGAAACACACAACAATTGTAATTAAACACAAGGGATGATGGTAATGTGACTGGGAATTCGTGATAAGTGAAAAGTAAAAATTCTCGAAGTAAAGTCATATCTTCGGATAAAATCTAATAATTCCTAGAAATACAATACTTGATTATTTCAGTAAAACCTCTAAGTTGGAAGGCTGTTACAGGGAGACGGGTAGGAATATTACAAGACTGTGAGGTGGGCAGAGAACGTGGGCTAGTGAACATTTTGCGTCTTCATCCTACTTGGGGTGGTGGCGAGCGGTGGGAAACAGAGGGCAGAGGGGTATAATTTGAATGTTTTAAGATAATAGCAGAGAAATATATGTATTACAAGGGTAAGTACTAATGGAATGGTGAAGCACAAAAGAATTTTGGAACTACTAAGGAGGAGAAGAAAAGAAAAGGAGGCAGCCTGGCCTCATCTCTCAGCAGGGCTGTCACA